CGGGTGTGCATGCCTTCAGCCTCAACTCCTTCATTGCAAGACATAGAAAACATGGGGACTCCCAGAAAAGTTAAAAAGGTCATGGGAGCCGAAACCGGTTTGGCTCAGTGGATAGAGCATCAGTCTGCAGACTGAAAGGTCCCAGGTTCGATTCCGGTCAAGGGCATGTACCTTGGTTGCGGGCATATCCCCAGTAGGGGGTGTGCAAGAGGCAGCTAATCGATGATTCTCTCTCAACGATGTTTCTAACTCTCTAACCCTCTCTCTTCCTCTCTAAGAAGTCAATAAAATATATATTTTTTAAAAAGGTCACGGGGAGAGACCCAGCAGACTGACTCTCATTAGCAAGCTTCCATTCCAATCAGTGTCTATTCACATGGATCTTATCCTCCCCAGAATTAACCACGCTGTACATATAAGAAGGAAGGACATCTCTTTGTCCTGAAACAGTCTCTCTATACAGATGCTCGCCCACTGTGGACAGCTCTGCAGTCTACCACTATCCCCTCAATCCTCACCATAATAATGCAATGCAGATGCAATTACCCCCACCTCACAGATGAGGAAACGGAGGGTTGAGGTGAAGTTAGACAAGGGCTTTCTCTCCACTACCATCCCTCTTCCCCATGTAAACACAGGGCCTTCTCATTCCAACAAGTTCTATTTTCTCCAGAACCGAAAGGTTGTTACTTGGTCACATAGTTGAGGAGAGACATGCCTAGAAGGAAACGGAGAAAACAATACAGACATAGCCACACACACACACACACACACACACACACACACACATAGAGTGACGTTCGTTTTCTACAAATAAACTCAGTGAATACTATGACAACTGCGGCCTTTGTTTTTGTACCGAGGAGGGAGGGACTCAACTCTACAGCGTTTTAGATCCAGACATGTGTTGATGGGCTGGCAGAGAAAGTAGGGCAAGGGAGGAGCTGCTCCTTGGCCCCGTCATTAGTGCCCAGGCCCCGGGCAGGCGGGGGGCAGGGCAGGAGACAGCCGAGGGGCTGCCTACGGTGCCCACCTACTCAAGGGTGGTACATTCGTGGCCGCCAACACCCTGCTCCTCAAACCTGGCAGCGCCCTCGGGACTTTCTGAGTTGGCAGAGGGGAGCACGTGCCACCTGTCAGTGATCCCCCGGCCCCCTCCCATCTGTAGCCCGGCAGAGTCAGCCTGTCCTTGAACCTGCAGCTTCGTTTTATCCCAGGGCCTGACCTCACGGGCCATCGGCAGGGAGAGGCGGGAACCAGAGCAGCGGTTCGGAAAGGGACAGCGTGAACTGGGTGGCCTGTGAAGCGAGAAGGGGACAGAGTGCACAGGGGACCCGGGAGCTGCCAACGCGGAGGGAAATGAAAGGAAGTCCTTGTTCCCAGGCCGAGGGAGCGCCTGGCCTTGATCCTGCCCGTGGGACACTCCTCGGGGGGAAAGGACAGCCTCTGGGTCCTTTCCCGGCTCTGTCACTCCTTAGTGGCCCAGTAGCCACGAGCCCCCCGCACTCACTGAGCCTGTTTCCTCGCCTGTGACCTGGGGAGAAGACGGCCTTCCTCAGAGAATTTTTAAGAGGCTCAAGAAGCCCCCTTGAACCCAGCCTGGACTGGGTCCCCAGCTGTCTCTCCTGGGCTGCTGTTTTCCCAGTTGTAGGGCTATGCTTCAAGGTGCTCTGCCTCTTAACAGCTGTGGGGCGTTAGTTAGCCCCGCTGGGCTTGCGTTTCCTCATCTGTGCAGTGGAGACAATTAAAGAGCACCTTACAGATTACGAAGAGTCAACGGGTTCATCTATGGGAAGGATCAGAGCACTGTCCGATACACAGAAAACTGCACATAAGGGGGTAGCTGTTCCTGGTTTTTGATGCTGTCCTTCTTGAAATTTAACATCTGCCCTAGACGGACGTTTGTTCATGCTTATACACACAGACGGAGCACCTGCGCGTGTCTGACAGTGCTCCGAGCTCGGGGGGTGCAGGGGTGACCAAGAAGACAAGGTCACGGCTCTGAGGAGGCTGATAAGACCAGGGGGGGAGGCAGAAAAGAAACGGTTTACTTGAAAGAGACTGTGAAGGACTAGCCAGTGCTGTGGTGAGACTAGAGAAGGTGAGGGACTGTGCTGTCAGGTGTCTCCCAGGCCTGACGGGCGGGAAGGAGCTAGCCATGGAAAGTAGTGGGGGAAGAAAGTTCTAGCAGAGGGAACAGCGATACAGAGGCCTTCTGAGCACGGCATGCCTGCAGACCGGGAAGGCCCGTGTGGCAGGAACACAGCAAGCAAAGCGGATGAACGGCCCCGCATGAGACCGGAAAGGAGGCAAGAGACAGGTCACGCGTGGGCTTGAAGCCAGGCTAGGTCAGTGGTCGGCAAACTGCGGCTCACGAGCCACATTCGGATCTTTGGCCCCTTGAATGAGGCTCTTCCACAAAATACCACGTTTTTTTTTAGCAAAGGCCAGCTTAGGAGTACCCTAATTAAGTTAATAACAATGTACCTACCTATATAGTTTAAGTTAAAAAAAAATTGGCTCTCAAAAGAAATTTCAATCGCTCTCCTGTTGGTATTTGGCTCTGTTGACTAATGAGTTTGCTGACCACTGGGCTAGGTGAGGTGGAGAGGGCTGGGGCTTGACCTGGGTTATATTTTAAATAGATCCGGAGACCCTGCAGAGTCACCCCATGTTAGGCACTTTTCCAAACAGCTGGCGAGTAAGCTATGAGTATTGTCTTCCCTGTTTTACAGCTGTGGGAATCATGGCGTAGAGATTAAATAACTCCCCCTAAGGCATGAAGTTAGATGTGGGGGGACTGGGATGCAAACCCAAGGAACCTGACCCCAGAGCCTGCATGCTCCTAACCACTAACCAACCCTATCTTAGGCCGGGAATGAGGGCCGAGACCCTATTCGTACTCCAGGCAGCCCTGGCCTGGCGCAAAGGAAGCCCCCCATACATGTTTGTTGAATGAACGATGTGAACATTCTCCGTACATTGAGTAAGAAATCCTTCAGGTTTTAGGAATTCCAACCATCTCAAGTTCCTTTCAATGCTGAGCAGATTTTCCTGGGAGGAAACCCAGTGCAGTTAGGACATGTACTTGGTGCCCGAGGCCCTTTACCTAGAGGCACACAGCGGCTCCACAGAGCTGGCCTGGGGCGGCCGGAGAGAGGCCTGCGCTAAGAGAATGCCTTCTGTTGGCATCTGGCCCCCGAGGGGCTCTCAGAACTGAGAAAGGAAGTCCCTTTCCCCCTTCTTTCTTCCTCATCTATTTCATTTAATCGACAGCGAATGAATACAGTCAAGCATCTTCCTTCCCCGGGTGGGAAAACATTTAACATACGGGCGGTCTTGAAAAGGCCTGATACGCACAGTGTTTCTGAATGGCTCAAGGTACACATTCAAGACGAGAGAAGGGCCGTGCTCTGCCTCCACCTGCTTCATCTCCTCGGAGTAGTAATCTATTTGGGCGCGCCTCTTTCAGGCCCAGCGGGAGGCCGTGTGGACTATAAAATCCAGAACTCCAGTTGCCTGCCCTAGGTCACAGTGAGGAGGGCGGAGGCCCCTGGAGGGTGAGGGAATCCCAGGCTGGGAGGGACTCCTAGCTTGGCAGTCAGTTGGACCCTGGTGTCTTTGCCACGGGATCCCTGGGGCCTCCTCTCACTCTGACAATGGAGCACCCCCCCCTTTAATGACTGGCATTCCCCCCAGTAACAAATAACACCCATCCCACCGTCCACAGTGAGTGTGCTTCCATATACTTATAGCTTCCTGGCTCTTCACACGTTCCTGTGAGGAGGCACCCTGACTTACTTCACGTGAGAAGTGAGAACACTGAGTCTCTTTAAAAAAGCAAGGCAAGCCCTAGCTGGCTTGGCTCAGTGGATAGAGCGTCAGCCTGCAGGCTCCATCCCCAGTGTGTGGGGGGGGGGGGGGGGGCTGCGAGAGGCAGCCAACGAAGGATTCTCTCTCATTCATTGATGGTTCTATCTCTCTCTCCCTCTCCCTTCCTTCCTTTCTGAAATCAATAAAAGTAAAAAATAAAAATAAAAAAAATTTTAAAAGAGAGATAAGCTTTAAATTCAGGGGACCCCAGATCCAACCTCTGATCCAAACCTGTGGGGCCCTGGCTGTGAGTGGGGGCTGTCAGGTGCTTTATCTACCCAGCCGCCTGGGCCCCGGCTTTATACCCATTTTCTGGATGTGTAAACTGAGCTGGGTGACGGCAACTGACCCAGGTCACAGGGCCAGAATTCAAATCTGCTGTCACCCAAGGACATCCCTCTTCCCGAGTGTCCAGGGCTGGGGCCCAGATGGGTTCTTCCCGGCTGCAGGGTGGGTGGAGGGGTGGGCGGGGCCTGCTTTATGGCCGGGTCACCTCTGGGATGAGAAAGGGGATTGCTGAGGGGGGGGGGGGGGAGGAGGGGGGGGGAAGGGGTAATAGGCGTGCCCTTGAGTGAGAGAGTGTGTGTGTGTGTGTGTATGAGAAAGTATGTCTGTTCTTCAGGTCCGGGGTGTAATTCCGCCAACAAGGTCCCGGCGATGGGCACCGCCGGTGCGCACGGAGGCTTTGTGTCCAAACCCGCGGCGCAGGGGCCACCCGGGGAGCGGGGAGAGGGAGCGGGCGGTTCCCCAGGCGGGGCCGCTGGCAGCCTCGTGTCCGCGCCTCGGGAGGGACGGCGTTCCGCACCCGGAGGGACGGGGCGAGTGGGTGCGGGAGGCTCGGGCCTCTGGATCCCGCGGGAGGGCCGTGCGCTCGGGCCGGAGCCGCTCCAAGCCGAGCACCGCGCACGGGCCTGGGGGTCGCGTCCCCGAAACAGCCGCCCGCCGCCCGGCCCCCCGGGTGCTCAGGGCGCCCTGCCCGCCGCCCGGCCGGCCCCCCGGGTGCTCAGGGCGCCCTGCCCGCCGCCCGCCCGGAGCCGGACCCCGGAGCCGGAGCGGCGGGTGCGCCTCCCGCCTCCCGCCTCCCGCCCCGCAGCCCCCGGGGACGCGGCCCTCCCGCCCGCACTCACAAAAGTGTCCCCGCAGCCGCCGTCCGGGCACAGCACGTAGAAGGAGACGCCGGGGTCGGCGTAGAAGTCCATCCTGCGCTCCGTCTCCTCCGCGGCGATGAGCTGGAAGGGCGTGCGGGAGCACCACTGCGCCGCGGCGTCCGCCAGCTGCTGGAAAGCCATCCCGCCGCCCGCCGCCTGCGCTCCTCCGCCCCCCGCTTCTCCTCCGCCTCCGCCGCCCCGCGCTCCTGGGCTCCTCCGGCGGCAGCGGCTCCGGGGCTCCGGGCGCGGCGGGGCCGGGGGCGCGGGTCCAGTGCGGCTCCTCCCGGCGGCGGTGTTTACACGCGGGGTGTAACGCCCGGCCCGCCGCGCCCGGCTCCTCCCGGCTCCTCCCGGCTCCTCCCCGGCCCGCCCCCGCCCCCGCCCCCTGCGGGCCGCCCGGGAGGCTGGGAGGCTGGCACCGGCCGGACGGCGCGCTCCGCGGCGGGGCGGGGCGGGGCGGGGCGGGGCGGCCGGGAGCTCCGCGGGCTCCCCAATACCAACCCCCCCCGTTTTGAATAAAGGAACCCGGAGCCGCCCGGGGCCCGGGGCGAGGCCGGGGCCACCCCGGACCGTGACGTCACGGGCGCCAGCCAATCCCGGAGCCGGAGGCCCGCGTCCGGGTGGCGAGTGGGGTGATGTCTCCGCGGGCCCCGCGCCCGAGGCTCCCCAGTTCCAGGGCTGTGGAGGAAGCGGGCGGTCCCCGTGGCCGCTTCTCTGGGGTGAAAAGGCCAGGGAAGCGCTTTCAGGAAAGCAGTTTGAATGCGGGGTCGTCCTCGGCATCGCAGATAACGGGCCCTTGTCTGAGGCTGCAGTGGAGGAGCCGGGGAAACCTAACGGGGCGCTTGTCTTTGTCAGAATCCACGCGCGGCCCTCCGATGGCGGCAAAGAAAGGTTTCCCCCAAATACACCGACTAGACACCGATCCGAGCGTCCGTTTGGAGAGGAAAAGGACCCCCCACACACACACCAGCATATAAAGCTGAGTATTTCTTAGAGATAAGCCTCACGAGACTGTCTGGACTGTTATTATTCATCTTCACTTCGTAGTGCGTAACCTAAAACGCTGCGCTGCTGGTTCGGAGAGCAGAAGTGCTTTCTAAAACCCGAGTACGTGCCCCACGGCTGCACCTGTTGAATGCTCGCCGCTGCCCGGACTCCACAGGCATTGCTGGATTGCGGAAAATGCACTGGAGAGAGCCCGCGCCCGCAGGCATTGAATGACGATGGCAATGACACTTAAATAGCATTCATTCTACAAACATTCCACCAGCCTTTATTTTTAAAGTTTGTCCTCTGAACCAGGCGCCGTGCTAGCCCTAGGGATATAAATATGAATAATATGTGGCTCCTCCCTCAAAGGGCTAGCAGATTCGGCAAAGAAAGCTCATGACATATGAACCCATTTGAATACACCATTTACTCAATAGTATAGATGTCATTGTGGGAAGTTTATCCTTGCACATTTCTGGAATAGGAATTATTTTTTAAAATATGTTCTTACTAATTTTAGAGAGAGAGGGAGAGAGATACAGAAACTTCGATGAGTGAGAAACATCGATTGGCTGCCTCCTGCATGCCTCCTAGTGGAGTTGGAGACCGAACCCTTGCCCTGACCCAGAATCGAACCAATATTCTCTTGGTTCAGGGGTGGATGCTCAATCACTGAGCCACACTGGCCAGGCTGGAATAGGAATTCTTAATAAATCAAAGCTGCCTTCCTACAGCGAACTGAGGTATGTACCCTTGACGGGAATAGAACCTGAGACCCTTAGTCATTGGGCTAATGCTGTATCCACTGAGCCAAGATGGCCAGGGTGGGCCTAGTTTTTTGCCATCAAGGAATTTACAGACTGTAGACTCTGCAGGACTCTAAGACTGCCAAGATCCCTGCCCTCCCAGTGTACACATTCTCCCCCCTTATTCAATCAAACACTAATTTATAATGTCAACAATAAAAATAAATTAAAAACACACTAATCTAGATACCGCTCTGAGGGATTTCCCCCATTTAATTAAGATCTCAAATCAACTGACCTTAAGAGAGGGAGACTGTCCTTGGTGGGCCTGGCCTAATCAGGCGAGCCCGTCAGAGGAATCGGGCTCTTCCAGGAGAGAGGTTCAAAGCACCAAGTGAATTCACTATAAAAAAATAGATTCTCCACTAATGGCTTTGGAGATGGGAGGGACCATCTGGCAAGGACTAGAGAGCACAGTCTCGGATCTGAGAGCAACAGCCAGCAAGGAAAGGAGACTTCAGTCGTAACTACAAGGAAATGATTCTTTCAAAGACCTGAATGAGCTTCCCAGTGGCTTCTCCCCGGAGCCTCCAGAACGGGGCTCAGGCTGACTGACACCATGATTTCAGCCTGGGGAGGCCCTGAGCAGAAAGCCCAGTTATGTTGTGGCTGAGCCAGAACTTCTGACTCACAGAACAGGGAGCTAAGTGGGCGTTGTCTGAAATTGCTGCTTGTTTTCATTTGCCAGGCAGCAGAAAACTAATACATAGGACAAAGGAGGAGGCAGGCACATGACTTAAAAAATTCAACATGCTACTGAAAGGTTTCCAAATGTTTCTTTCTCTTCCTTCCTTCCTATCTTTTAACAGGAGGACCTCAAGATAGAGCAAGCTTCCTGCAATCTTACCTTGTTGTGTCATAAAGTATACACAGTAGTCTGGAAGCTCCAAAAATGAAGAGATGCCTTACATTTGAGACTAAAATACAGAAACTATATAGCTTTTCTTTTTCTTTCTTTCTTTTCTTTCACCTCGATACCATGCTGTGCCACTCCCTTGCTCTTACTTTCGGCTGACATAGCATCTGAGCATGCTCCCTACTCCTAACACTTTCATTGCCTTCTTTCCGTACAGCGCACGGAACTTCCTCTTCAGATGCAGCTCATTGTTGCTGCGGGAGAAATACGGACTCCCAGATGGCAGGACAGTCGTTTGAGCCTCCTCCTCTGCTCGCCTGGCAATGAAGGTTACAGAGCCGCCTCTCCCATCGGCCTCCCGAGACCCCTCAGGACCCAGCAGTATCAGCTCGCCCCCTGGAGGGGGTCCCAGGAGCACAGGCGGCCTTGGAGCTCCAAGGAGGGTGTGTATTCCTTTGGGAACATTTGCTAAACCAGAAGCTGCTGCTGTTCTATGAGCGGGCTGAATGCTTGTGATACATACATCCTCTGGCTGGGCAGGCAGCTGATGGGAGGGTGCTGCTAAGACTTGAGACAGTGGACTGGGTGCTAGAAAGACTTTACATCATGGCTGTGCAGTTTATTAACTGCACGATCTTGGAAAGGTTGCTTGGCTCCTTTGAACCTTAATTTCCTCATCTGCAAAATGGGTTGAAGGTCTCTATGTTGTGAACTTGTAAGACTCTGAGAAAATAAACGTGAGTGTGTGCATAGTAGATGATGCAAAGAACCAACAAGTTTTAAAAAATGTGAGAAATTTGAGTGTATATATATATATCTCCAAGGTTCTTGTAATAGTGGTTGCCTCTAAGATGGATAGAGATATTAATTTTAGATATTGTTAAATCAAGGGTGCATGTTAACAGGTTGAAGGTGTATCAGTGAGAAGTTGCATTGAGTTAATAATAAAGTCTTGACCAAAATGATTGGACAAGGTAGAAGTTTGCTAGGCTACAGAGAGCTTAGGAAACAGAAAAGGGTTTACTTATACAACCAGAGTACAGAACATTGAAACAACATCAGCAACATTACCCCAGAAAATGCAGTGGAAGTTCCTCGGGGGTTCGTATGTAAAGAATTCCGAATTCCTGTTCCCTGGCCTTGGGGAGCTGACCTCTGGACTACAAACAGTCCTGGAGATACGACTGTCCCGCGGGATGTCTGGAAGCCACCCGAGAGATGTTGCCCAGGAGCCCGTGCCCGAGGCGACATCGGAAGCGCGGAGGGTTTGAGTAAGAGGGATCGTCCTTCTCTGCAGCGGGGACACCGAGACCATCCTTCTTGGCTGAGGACAAAACCTGGCCTGCAGCTCACGGCAGAGCCTTCCTTCGCACCGCCCCACAAGAAACCAGTGCCACCTGTGGGTGGCAGAGTCTCCACGTGGCTGTGGTTACTCTGCGGCTGGCAATCCTCACATGTACAAGGTCTGATGAGGGGTGTAAACAAGAATGATGCAACAAGGAAACGTGGTTGTATCTATGAAATGCAAAGAAGGATAACTAAGCCCTTCCAAAATAACAAACAAACAAACAAAAGGGAAACTGTCTCTAGGATAATGACTAAGTTTATATTGAAAGAAACCTGATTCATAGAAATAGAGAAACATAATTTTATAGAGGAGAAAATCTTGAAGCATAATCTACTAAGAATCTACTAAGAATATCAGGTATGGAGATCAGGAATGGGACCTACGCATATGTCCATGAAATGCCAGAGGAACGTCTGATCTGCACCCCCATTGAAAACCACTGGCCTAGAAGATAGTGGACTCAAATTAAAGAAACACACCTGTGGCCAGGCCAAAGTAACATGTTACGTTACAATTGAAATGACGGAGAGCACTACACCGCTGTCACCATACTGCGGCTGTCTGACATCATCAGGCAAAGCGTTGCCAGGATTCTGATAAATACAGGAAAACACAACACAACAAGTTCATAAGGGTTTTGATTAGTGTTTTCCTTGAGGGTCAAAAGAGTTCATGGACAGACAGGGCACTGACAAACATCCAGGGTCTTCCTAGTGAGTGTGTCACTTCAGAATTTCTATGGCGAAGCCTTATCAATACCAATTCACCAGGGGAAGCTGAGCTTGCCTTCCGATCTGACGGCAGTTCTCCTGAGCTCCTCCAATAGCAGCAGACAAACCTCCCCGTCACGGTATTCGGCGGAAGAGCAGTCTCCGTGATTCCCAGGTCCCTCTAGGAGACCACAAGATTGCTTGAGGTGTAAAAAGTACCTTGGTTTTCTGTACACTTAAAAATGGTTAAAACGGTCAATTTTATGTTATGTATGTTTTACCCCAACACAATCGTGTTTCAGTCCTTTTGGGCACACCCAGGAGTGGAATTGCTGAGACACTGCACATGGGGAAAAAGGAAGGGGAAAGCCAAGGCGTGGCTTTCGAGAAGGCGTGTTTTATAAGATGCATAGGTTTGTTTGCGTGCTCGG